AGGTTTTGCATGTTTTTTTTTCTCATTTTTATTTGAACATTTTGACATCTACAGATTTCTTTTTTCTCCTCTTTATAACACCATAATATAATATCCAAAATCTGACAGATGTATGCAGCACTTAGAGCATTTTTCTCTCTCCTCCTTTAAGGTAAAAGTTAAAAAAAAAAAAGAAGGAAAAAAAATGCGATTTTGGAGTCGAGCCAAGTGGGAAATAAACAGAAAATTCACACTAAAAGGAAAATTCCAAAATTCCCTCGCTTTTACGATCCATCAGGTATGAATATAGAATACTAAAAGCGCAACACTTGTTAATAGTTGTCACTTCTATTCGCAATGATATAACGAAACAATCATAAGCATTGACGAAAAAGTTTGGCCAAACTTGGAAAAAAAAATCGCTTTAATGTTTACAACCGGAAAACATGGGCCTACATTTTTATGATCCGAAGCGAGCGCGGAATATTCTCTCCCCCTCGCTAAAATAATGAAGAATTTAGCGCTTTTAGTTGACTTAACGGATTAAAAGAAAGGGGGGGGGGAATGAATTGCTTTACGCTGACAACGTTCCTATCGAGTGCAGTTTAATTAATCGTGTTATTGTCGGGAATAACTCGTAGCGATGCCAGCGAAGAAAACACCTGCCGAGGGACATGCCAATAACACTCGATAATCGTAGATTCGAGTCGATATCGTCTACTTGAACCGAACGTGGTTGTTGCCAAGCAACCATTAGTCGATGTCACGCCATCTTGATGACAAGCACGTGGCTCTTTTGATACCTTTTCTTCTTTACATTTTTTTTTCTTAATATTATAAATTGCTGTAGACCGTTATTTTTTATATTCGTTTAGTCACTTTCTTAGTAAACAAAAGTTAAGTTTTTTCTGTTTTTTTTTAACTAAAAAAACAAATTTGTTTTTTCATAAACTGAATTAAGTTCATTACCGCTACTTATTGTCAGTGTTCTTCGATCAAAAGAAGATGGAAAGAAGTAAATTCGCATCCGCATTAATAAGATAAAAAAATAGTAAAAATATTAATAATAATAATAATAATAATAATAATAATCTAGTAAATGATTTATTTTATCTAATTAAATCTCAATATATAAAAGTTAATAAAATGCAAAACCACTGCGATGTAAAATAATAGAAGATTATGTTTAATGAGCAAAATCAAGATCATTTTTATTACGGGTTGTAAAATAAGTAATTCTGTAAACATTTTGGGAGATTTTAGGATTGGACGGATTAAGAGAACGATCGATTTGCACTCTTTAATCCCACCGATTTAATCTGGATTTAATCTGTTCGGTCAGTTAAGAATATCGGTTTTGTATGTTTTACGATGGAATTTGCTTCTTGGAAAAGTATAAAACTGTTATTAAAAGAAAATCAAATACTAAAATTTTTATTACTCCCTTAATTTTAATTTAACTTTACGAATATCGAATTAAAAAAAACATCAAATTTGGTTTAATTTTTATGGGAATTAGTTTATAATAGCATATTTTTTTTAATCGTTAAATGCATTTTATAATGATTAAAACTGATATAAAAAAAAAGCTCAATCGTTTTATTTTTTAATATATTATTCCACTAACAATTCAAACCATTTTTTGTATTTTCAAATGCAATCGCTATATATATATATATTTTTATTTTTAATTAGCATTAACAGATGAATATTCATCATCCTGATAAAATCCTACTTCAAGCATTGACAATACATACAGTAAAACCTGTGTAAACCGGACTAGCAAGGTACCGAAAACAGATTTCCGTTTTGAACAGGTATTTCTTTTTTATCATAGAAAATCACTGGGTCCCGAAGAATCCCCTTCCCTTTTAGGCAAGTTTCCGTTTTATTAAGGTTTCGTTTTGAACACGTTTTACTGTATAAAGTTTCATACGAATGACGTATATAATCTATATAAAGCTCTACATTATGATAAAAGCTTACGAATTTAAATTACATGTTAATACTTAATTTCCATCATTGTATTTAGCTTAAGATTTAAAATATATTAAATTTGTTTATTAAAAACCGAATTATTTATAATCTAATTCCTTCATCTGTTGCTGCTATCGATTTTGAATCCTTATCATCTTCGCTATCCGGAGAATAATGGTGGTAGTTACAGAACACGAGGGGATCCCGATACACATAGAAGTATAACTAACCTAATTTTGAACAGAACTACTGCTACAGTTATAGATAATGATACAAATTAATAGAGATTATTTTCGACCTTGATTGAAAACATAAGACATTACATCTGTAGTGTGCAAGTGACGAAAAAACTTTCAGAAATTATTGTTCTGTATTCCAGAAAATCTTTACATAAATACAAATGGCTACTCCTTATTTCAATTACATACAGCCAGGGCCCTGATTCTACTCGTGACCCTATGCTACAACATTCAAGAGGACCTTCCTCCTTCACAAAATGATAACCGGCAATGTATGTTAATACCATTTTTGAGAATACAACGAGGCCCCTCGTAACGCCAGGCCCTAAACAATAGAATATAAACTAGGTAAATGCAGCTCTGCATAGCGCAGTGGTTCTCAACTTTTTTTCACTGGCGTACCACCCGAGTCTTCAGTGTATATACTTGTAGTACTAACTGATCATTCTCGCGTACCCCCAGTGGTACAGTACATGTACCACTGGTTGAGAACATGGAGAGTAACCGAATCAACTGATTGAATGTATTATTAAAAGTTAAAATGATACTACTGCAATATAATTTTCTAGTTTTATAACATATTTAATAATATTAAAGATAGTAACGCATTAAATTTATTAAATAATACATTTAATTTATAACTTTAAAGATATTAATTTAATCAATATTCATTACGTAGGCAACTTCAAATAATAATTTTCTATAATACATTCGCCGATAAATAATGATATTGCTTGGAAATTTGTAATATCCTCGGGTATTCTCCGTATTCCTGATTATCCAAAGAGAATAAATTATCGGATATTTGCCCTTGAACTTTATGTAAATTGTAACGGATACTGCTGATCTATAGCCTTAGGCGCGGTCGAGCATCTCAACTATTGCAAAGAGTTTCAATTCTCACAAATCTCTGGAGAAAGTAAAATAGATATTCACGACTGGGGATGGCATACGATAAGAATATTCCGATATTCGATAAAAAATTTTTTATATTTCGCTACATTTATGCCATTCTTTTCGCTTAAAGCATTTTAAGAAATTCTTGTGGTTCGGTTCAACAGCCGAAAATAATATTTTGAAGCATGCGGTATCGTACTGCCATCTATCTATGACAATTTACACCCTTTGACCTTTACGAAAATTGAAGTTTTTCTCGTTGGTGGCAAAATATTCTTTTTAAAAAAATTATAAAACTATATTCTCTATCGGTATTATTCAATAGAAATATTTAAAGGGGGTGCAGAAAGGAAACAATATGCCTTACAGAATTGTTTATTACCTGGCTTTACTGGGAGAAAAAACCCTCAGAAGAAAGTGCAGCTGCACCCTGTTCATCTCCAAGTATCATTTTATCGATAATATGCAAAATTTTAATTGATACCTGGAGCAGAGGCAGTTAAAGTAAACCCGGAATCGAATCCGGACACTCGAAAAAATCCCAGATATTTTTCGGGGGTGATGCGTTCCGGATAAGTTGGGTCCCGTCCCTCACCATCGGCTGCCCCAGGGGGCATCATGGCCCAACGATAGACCTAGAGAAAAGTCCTCTTAGTGTCTATAGAGCTGAGAGTAAAAGAAAAAAAAATTATATTATCAAGTGAAAACTCTCAGGAATTAAAAAAAAAAAAATAAAGATTTTAGAGTCGGTAGTTGTAGTCTTTATAAATGTGTGAAACATAACTTAAGTGTGAAATATTCACGTGGTTTCTCGTTATTGCTGCAATTTCTTGTAACTGAAGAATAAGATAACATTTCATGTGAAATCAATGTTGTTAGAATATGTGATTAATGTTTCAAAGTAACCATCGCTACTATCAATTTCACTTTCAGTTTTGACCGATTTACTAAAAGAAGACAGCGCTAGTTACTCACCTAGTAGCGATTTTTTGACTTATTTCCTTTCTACATAATTTTCTTCTGTAATCATTTAAATTGAGTAAAATTAATTTTAAAAACATTAAAAGAAACACTTTTTCTTTTACTATTTTTAGAATGCCATCAAGAAAAAAAATTTTTTTTTTAATATCCAACAATTTTATAAGCAAGAAACTCGAATTAATAACTGATATACAGTCGAACCTCCATTAACGGCCATTTTTTATATACCCGTCACTGGTCGTTGTTCAGAGGTTGACTCTAGATTTTTTTTAATGTAAATATAATAAATATTAAAATATATATTTATATATATTTCGAGAGTTCTCTAGTAATGAAAAATAAAACTACACAAGTTGGAATATTAATATATATATTCATCGCCAGAGGGCTCCCGAGAAATATTTAAATTTTCACTTAAACTTAAATACGACAATTTTAAATTACGTTGCGTTTATAAGCCTAAATAATGCTTTTTTATAATTAGAATTTTCTCAAATTAATTAAAATAAAAAGCAATAATTTAAAAAATTACTTATTTTTATTCTTTCCTATTTAAATTTTTAACGATCGAAACGATCTGGTATGCGACCTATAAGAGTGTCGCCATCTACCGTTTAAATGATAAATTAATAATAATAATAATTATTATTAGAATCATTTTTATATAACTAAAAAAAAAAAAATAAAATAAAGGAAAGAAAAGTTACTTGATATTTTATCGGTACAAATGAAAAGAGCAATTACTTTTGAACTTTAATTTAAATTATATAAGGAATTTTTGAGGATTTACAAGAAACCCAAAATTCCTATATTTTTGTAGGATTGTGTTTCATAAGAATTTAATGAATTTCTAAAAATTTACATTTATTTTCAGAGCATTTTGACAGGAAGTTACGTCAGCCACGAAAGAAATAAAAGCACACTTACTTTCCCAGATTTAACCGGATGTAGAGAATAACGTAAGAATATTCTTGCACACCTGAAAAACAAAACATGGAGTTTAAATATCAAGTTTCATTTTAATATTGTCTGTATCTAGAATTTATTTCGTTTTTTTCCACGCAGTTTATTTCCAAATAAATCAAATTTTTATTTTTTATTTTTTTTGAATTAGAATAAAAATAATTTTTATATATAACCACAGGCTAGGAATATACTACATAAACAAATATGATGATAGCTTATGTCAGTAAGACATTGTTAGTCAGCTAGTTTCAGGGGAATATCGACAAATAACGGATCATTTGTAACCCAGAAAAGAAAGTCAAGCTGTGTCTACAGATAGCATTCGAATGTGACAAACGATTCATCCCCGAGGCCCTTTGAGGCACGGAGAAGGGGAATAACACCCCTTTATGGGCAAAGAAAAGGAAAAAAAAAGAAGACTGTTACATCTTTTCCACGTATTAAAATATATAAAGTGTATCAAGCTACTACTTAGTATAATGCCGGACAGATACTCTACAATGTTTTTATACGATAAAATTTTTTTTATAAAAAGCGAGAGGGGAGATTGTAAAACAGTTTTAAACTATTTAAAATTTCATTTAAAGATTGTCCTTTGAGCAAAGAATCCAAAGTTTGACCTCAACTACACTTTTCCCATGAAGGAAGATTATAAAAAAAAAACATAAAGAGGCATACTTCCGAGGTCACAATAATTCGAAACAAATGCTTTCTTGTCAGATAAAACAAATACTTTATTAAAGAAATAAGATCATTGACAATATAACAGTATGTATTTATATTTTGAAAAACTAAGGTCAAATTGTTTCTTCAGTTGCTTGACAGATAAAGTTGTTTATGTTTATTTATCAGAGAAAGCATTATAATATTTTATCTACAATCTTTTGATATTCCGACAGTTTATTTAGAATATATTTTATTGATAATTTTATTATAAATATATACAGAGAATTAAAAATATTTTTTCAAAGCTGTGTAAAAAAAATTAAATCCTCTTGAACTATGCATCTCTCCAGGACGATATTCATCATCGGTATTTACAGTATAAGAATTTATTCATGAACTTTACGATTTTTTTATTATTATTCTTTATTTTTGCACCTCCCGACGGAAGAGGCCCTGAACAAATTTAGGTCAGAGCAACCCTATTTCAGGTATTTGGATATTTTCTAACCCTTCCTTTACATGTTAAAATATAAATATAGCACGTATTTATATTTTTTTATGTTGAAAATCATTATGTACAGATAATTTTTACAAATGTTTATATCTATAAATCTCCATGTAATATATCTTAACAGCTTGTCAGAATGGCCAGATCTATATACTGAAATTCTCTGTTTTTGTTACAGTTTCTATGATAATTAATTATTAAAAAAAATAATATTAAAAAAAGCAGCACTAGAAAAAGTTGTTTACATTAATTCAGCACATTATATTTAATTATAATTCATCATATATATATATATTTTTTATATATATATTTTACATTAAGAGTATTTATTAGCTGTAATATTTGAACAGTAGATCGCATTCTATAAATCCTTCACGAATGACGATAGAATACATTAATTTCTCGGCTGTAACAAACCATAAGTGTTTATTACAAGAGAATTCTCTCTCTCTCTCTTGAATTAAAAAAAAAAAAAGTGTCATNCCCTTTTGCCGCCATTTTTTTTCAACAAACGAAGTATCTAGAATGTTTGTTTCTTTATTAATAAAAACAATCTTAAAGATTTTGTTTTTACTAGTAAAAATAACATTAATTTATAGGGTAAGAACCAGTACGGGCCCGGGGAAAGATGCAACAGTCCCCACCTCTCGACGTCCCTGTTTCTGTTATTCCGAATGGAAATTAAACGCTAATTTACATACAAGGCTCTTAATAAGTAGTGTTTAATGCCTTTAAGTAAAGGGTCGGTAACATACACCTGCCAATTATAACCTTTAAGCGAGTCTCTAATACTTTGAATTTTATAATAAACAAGTTCTATCTTTATCAAGAAAAAAATCAAAATAAAGCAAAAAAAATGTTGTTTTTTTTTGGATTTATACAATTATATACAATGCAAGAAAAAGTTCACAGATTTAACAATAGATGGCAGCACATCAATAGAAGTGAATAGGATGAGCTTAAAAAAAAAAAAAATAAATAAATAACTGAACGATAACTAGAGGCTTATCTCCAGTTTTAAACGTAATTAAATAAGGTTTTTCTATGGCAGATCCTGTTTAACTATTAGAAAATTGAATCCCTTATCTCGAATTAATTAACCTTTAAATAATTTGTAATTGTTAAAGAAGTCATTTTTTACAGTTCTTTGACAGTTATGTAATGCATAAAAGAAAATTCGACAAAGAAATCATTTGCAGAAATTGCTCATAATCACATTGGTCGAGCGTTTTTGAAATAGAAAAACAGACAGCGCTTAATTATACGATTATTGAGAAAGGAATAAAAAGACTTTTGAGTTGTGCTGAGAGGTTCGCGATTGAAAGAAGACAGAAGGCCTCTGAATAGTCTTGCTTCTATACTATTTGATGTAAAGAAACTAAAAAGCTAGCTCGAGTGGATCATAAATATTTAACTGCACTAGATTAAGTCTAACCATTACTTTCCATTCGATAAAACCTCGTTATGCAACCCACTTTAAAAATAAATAAATATAGTTTATACGCTTAGACCACTAATTATTATTAATTTATTTAATTAATTGCAAGACAAAAGTCAGAGCAAGTCGAAATATCTTCCATTTTATTTTATTTTTAAATCATTCAGCACGTGTTTTGTATCATACATCAATGGTCACTCCTGCAACTCAATTTTCCCTTATTTTTTAATGAAAAAAAATTAATTTTTACAATTTTAATAAATGAGTTAGTTAAAATACGAAATAATCTTCTCTAAACGGTGGCAAAAATAAAGAAAAAAAGAAATTATTTCGAATTACGCGATAAGTTTCTAGATTAGAATAATAATATATGATAATTGTAATATATAAAAAGTGAGATAAAACTACTTAACATAAAGTATAAGTGGACAGCCCTATGCTACCAGTAACTCATCCATATCCAAATAAGGAGAACTGGAAGGTATCTCATTCATAATAAATGCCCATCAGTATAAGAAAAAAAAAATCAATTCGTTTAAGATGATTTAAATTTAGTAAAAACGCCGTTTATATATTATAATGGTCCATTTGTTTTTATTAATGGCTATTAAAAACACTTACTAATCGCAGTCTATTTCTATTATATAAATACAAATTATTCATTTATCTTTTTGTGTAGAACTATATCTTTTTTTAGGTCAATTTCTGGATAAGTTTTTCATCTAAGTATGTGTAAACTGTTATAAATAAATAAATAAAAAGAATCGAAGCACCTTAAAGCCAGCCTGCAACAAGTAATCAAATTTCTCACGTGGAATGGCGATGAAAAAATAAGAAATTAATTATACAACAGCGAAAACATACATCGTTTACAATAGTTTCATTACAAATGTTACAAATCAGTCAGTCAATTAATGCAAACTGATCAATGTTACTATTGATAATAATTGTGACGAAACTGTTCTTCAATAATGTATACTCTACCTTCAGCAACTATATACAAAGATATAATAAATAATCATCTATATATATTTGGAATGCAGTACGAAAATAGACTCGAATACTTATCTCCTGCCGGTATTTACAGTATAAGAATTTATTCATGAACTTTACGATTTTTTTATTATTATTTTTTATTTTTGCACCTCCCGACGGAAGAGGCCCTGAACAAATTTAGGTCAGAGCAACCCTATTTCAGGTATTTGGATATTTTCTAACCCTTCCTTTNCTTCAGCAACTATATACAAAGATATAATAAATAATCATCTATATATATTTGGAATGCAGTACGAAAATAGACTCGAATACTTATCTCCTGCACCATTCGAAGTTTAAATTTTGACTTTGTAAATGTTGGAAATATTCATATTTCTTTTAGATTTAATTACATAAAATATCTAAAAGAAATATTTTCTAGAAATTCCGAAAATTAGAATAATTACATCTTTTCAAATGCTTTAATTACAGTATTTACTACCTGGAAATAGAACTTGATATAAGATTAAGTCATATTGAATGACAACTTTATTAATCCTTCCTGTTTTATTAAATATATATAGGCTATATAAATCAGAATAATGCTGCAAATTTCTATATACAAGGTTCTGTAAGTAATATTAAAATTCTATACGTTAATTAATAAATTAATTTAATAGGGAAAATAAGATTCAGAAATTTATTAACTTCGCTAAAAAGTAGTTAATTTAATTATAAATTCCGAAAATACTTTAAAATTAATTATTTTTTTTTAATAATCTGTATTTAAATATATGTTTTCTTATTTTATTTTCACACAGATTAATTTATTTCAGCTGTTTTAAATACGATTTTTTTCTCGACTAGGCATCGATTACANTTCAGAAATTTATTAACTTCGCTAAAAAGTAGTTAATTTAATTATAAATTCCGAAAATACTTTAAAATTAATTATTTTTTTTTAATAATCTGTATTTAAATATATGTTTTCTTATTTTATTTTCACACAGATTAATTTATTTCAGCTGTTTTAAATACGATTTTTTTCTCGACTAGGCATCGATTACAAATAAATTCTGAAAGATTTGCATATTTTACAATAAGTTATTGTTATATAAAAATGTGAAAACAATTTCAAACAATTTATATATTCTAATAAAGTTTCCTGCATCTTTCTTCAGTTGGAGACTCCCTTTCAGAGTGTTCCCATGACATTAGCCAGGATACAGAGATTCCTGAGGGTCATAACCCACTGGTTGAAGAATTATGTACTAACAAATACTGAAAATATTTTCGATATTTATTACGACATTGTTTAATAGTATAGCTACAAATTCACTCTTAAATCACTCCTTTGTTAGAATTAAAACGTCTTATTTCACTACACTTTTAAACTAATTTGCACATCTTTTAATTGAAGTAAATT